ACCAATACCGGTACTTATTAGTGTAGACTGTAGGACTGAATCTGACGACGGCGGCCCAGCCTGGTTCAAGGATAGAGACATGAGTCCCAATAAAACCAATATCATTTACATCAATATAAATATAATATTATATCAATATAATAGGTTAGGGTTATGGTTAGGATTAGGGTTAGGGTTAGGCACATTGGTTTTATTGGGACCCATGTTCTCTATCCTTGGGCCCTGAGGGCCTGACTCCGAGGCTTTCCAATTGAGTTTTATCTACGAATAGTGAATATAGAGTCTACATTACAAATGCTGGGTACATGTTTATTGACAATACTTACTTGGTGGAGAGATTGCAGCCATACGTTGGCCCTAATCAGGTTCCTGTCACATTTATACATAAAATCCTGACAAATTTACTTGACGAACCGCCATACTTGTGTTTCGGAACTACTTTTGGCTCGGTTGTATCAGTGCACAGGATCGTCTGTGTTTATTATATATGACAACTATAAACAAGCGCCTATTAGTTAATTGTGTAATAAACAAGGGTAAAGATAAATTACACTAAAGATTGAATCTGTAAATCGAAATCACGTTAGTTTGTTTAAAACCCATAAATACCTAAGGCCTATATTCTTTTGGTTAACCATCCGCATGACGTCAGTCACTAAGGGGCGCTCAGATCGTTTACCTCTGCCTCGATGTAGGCAGAGATGTAGTAGTAGGTTTGTTTTACAAGAAACGATCTTATCAGCAGTGTGCTCCCTATATAGTAATGTATTGCTAGCAATTGAGTTAAAGACAAGTATCGGTATGGTTACTGAGATTAAAATTGAATAAATTTTAGCGTGACGTACAAAGGTGGATGACATGTAAATTGTAGGGGAGCTTGAAGTTTTGAACACATTTGCACCACCGAAGTCATGTCATCGAAGCAGAAGCTGTTCGAGCTTTGGATGGTCTACAGTGTGAAGGTATGGCAAATGTACTTAGTACTACTTACTAAGTTACTTAGTTACTACTACTAGTGTGGGATGTGACATGGGACTGTGACTTGTTTGGAAACTGAGGGTCGTACCAGGCTCATGTGATGACAGCTGTGTGTTACCTCTCACATTTTATTTTTAGTTCCTTATAAACCGTGCAAAAGGTTGAAAGCTTGTTTCGTCGCTCAATGACGTCACAGTGTCAACTGTACAAAATTAATTTTTTTAGGGTTAGGGTTATGGTTACATGTTAGGGTTAGGGTCACAATGCACCTTCAAACAGGAGTTTGAGTCCGTACGGACGTGACGACACTGTGACGTCATTGAGCGACGAAACAACAGGGTGAAAAACTGATAATTGGAGGTACTGGTCCAGCGGCAGCAGGACCAGTGCCTCTGAGGAAGCACTGGTCCTGGTCAGTAGGCACTGGTCCAGGATTTTTGTCGTAGCAAAGTGAATGACTCGGATGTGGGGACGTTTTTATATGGGGGGATGGTGCAATTTGGTGATGTGCATTCTAAGGTATTCTTAAAAAATATATTTTTTACTCATTTTGATACACCAGGGTTCTCCAAGCTTTTTCATTATAGCATGGCAGGTGCTGCCTTTACGGTCCTAGTTGCAAATCGCCGAAGGCGGTTTGCGTGCTAGGGGGGTCCGGGGGCTATGATATTTAGCATGGCGGCTATGAGTGGCGGGTGCATTTTAGGATGGCGGGGCTCGACGATAGCCTGGCGGGCCGCCAGGCTATAAGTGCTCTTG